CTGTGTGAGCCTGGTCCCTGTGTGAGTCTGGTCCCTGTGTGCGCCTGGTCCTTGTGTGAACCTGGTCCCTGTGTGAGCCTGGTCCCTGTGTGAGCCTGGTCCCTGTGTGCACCCAGTCCTTGTGTGAGCCTGGTCCTTGTGTGAACCTGGTCCCTGTGTGTGCCTGGTCCCTGTGTGAGCCTGGTCCCTGTGTGCCCCTGGCGCGTGTGTGATCTTGGTCCTTGTGTGAGCCTGGTCCCTGTGTGAGCCTGGTCCCTGTGTGAGCCTGGTCCCTGTGTGTGTTTGGTCCTGTGTGAGCCTGGTCGCTGTGTGAGCCCGGTCCCTGTGTGTGCCCCTGGCCCGTGTGCGCGGTGCAGAGGGGATTTCCCTGCTCTGATGAGGGGAACACAGCTCTCTTTCAGGCTGCTCCGGGCACACGTCCCCTGGCCCCAAAAACACAGACTGAGGCGGAAATATGGAGAGGCGATGGAAAGAGGGAGCCAACACATGATGCACACACAGAGCCAGAACGAGGTCACTTTAATACAGGATCGTTTACACACTGGTGGACGCAGTACAAAACTCGAGCCCCAACTCTAACCAAAACCCATCTGACAGCTCTACCTTACATTTATCCAATTACAGGTGGTTTTACTGCTCAAAAATACCTCGAAAAACAAACATTCTGACTGTGAGCTGGGTCGCCTCTCCACAGATCTGACCTGTCATTGGCCTGGTTTGGTCTCAATGATGATAGAAAGGTTTAATGCCATACTGTGAAACATTCCAGACAAAACTTCTTCTTCTTTATGGAGAAAAGCATTTGACAGACCCACCAGAAAAGTTGCACAATGCACCTTTAAATCATGTTACAATGTTGTTGTCTCATCACAAACAAACCTGGAGTTGTGTTTTGTTTCATTCACATGTTTGTTTATTATTAGTCTGTCTACATCGCCAAAGCTCAAAATGCTCTGTTCCACCTTGTGATGTCATGAAGTGGTAGTTTTCATGTTCACAGCTCCTTTTACCTTCAGTTCAGTAGAGATCAGCAATTCCAGGGCTGAAATTTTCCAATGAAAAGTGGTGTTTGGAGTTTAAAAACACAGTCGAGCACTTCCTGTATTACCACATGACATCACAAGGTGGAACAGAGTGTTTTCTGTTTGAGAAAGAACTCTAAGTAACTCTAAACTCTGAACTCTAAATAGAACCGCAAGTGACAATGATTGACCCTCGCTCGTACCTATGCTGCACAAACGCCATGCCACGCACTGCACATGCGCACCCTGACCTTAACCTAACCCTACCATTTTTCACCATTTTTGTATGTTTTTTAAATTTTTTATCCAAGATGCCTGACTTCCGGTTTGTAAAAAGATGTGGTCTCAATAGAATTTTTTATTCCTATTGCCATGAAGCATCTGACAACTTTTTGGCTTGTTGTTGTGGCAACACAATGTGAGATGGAGTGAGGGCATCATTAACGTTTTTGACTGAGACCATGCCACAAATGTGTGCACCAAATTTTGCATATCTACAAAAAATAAAATGTTCTCATTCCATACCAATTGTCTAGGGGTGATATTGCACCCATTTTTGTACTTTCTTCATCTGTGCAGGGTCAGGGTGTCCGCCCACAATTCAAATCTGAGTGAAATCAGCAAAAGTGTATGTGATTTGTCAATTTTACAAATAGAATAACATGGAAAGTTTATGTGATCGCTATGGCGACACCATAAAAAATATGATATGGGTGTCATTGACTTTTTGGATCTATATGGTAAAATGGAATTTTCTGTAAAATTTCCAACATTTTTGAAAAACTAATATTTTTTTCCCCTCATATTAAATTTGATTTCACATATACACATTCAGCAGTTTTAGGGCAGAGAGTTTAACAACTGTTTCACATTTCACGGAAATCGGAGTTCGTCTGAGGAAATGGGAGCAATTTGTAAATATCCCAAATCTCAAAAATTGTATGCATTTTTTGTCACTTCACTACTCAAAGACAATAAGATGTGTGTCAAAAAAACTGTTCAGGTGAACATCCTAGGAGGAGTGCATAAAAGTATGAAGTTTACAAAAAATGCTTAGTCATGCTTATCAAACTTTAATCCAATATTGCTGCCCCCTGGTGGAGCACACTGCGTTGGTGTAATTCTATTTTTTCTTTGTCTTGTCATGATCTACTTCTGTGTCAAATTTCATGATTCTACGTGCACATTTTATGCCGTCATTCATATATCCTAATGTCATGTTTGGGGGCGCTGACGAGCCATTTTATTTATTTTCAGAAGATGGAGATAGCCACATGTGTTTGGATACGTTTTTGATGAGGAAACAACATTCTAACGTAGATGAGAAAATCGCGTAACTTGGGCCCTTTAGGAGCCTCCAGAGTGCACAGTATCCAATTCTCTGTCCTCATATCACTCTCTTTCCAACCATAACCTCATGTTTTGACAGCAATAAAAGCTGTGTTTTATCGTTATTGGACATCGCGTGCATATCTTCAACAGCGAGAGGAGCAGGTGAAGAGGCTAGCTAGCGTTAGCATGTCTTGTGCCTGATCTGCGTCAGAAGAGTTTCCAAAGACAACACTTAAGTCTGGCCTCTGTTCTTGCTGTCCTCAAAGCACCCGCTAACACCGCTCCAGAGCTCATCAAAACCGACTTTATTCCTGATCCTCCCAGAAGCTCCTACTGGACGCACTGGTTTTCTACATGAGCCGGATTGAGTTTCCATTAAACAGGAGTTATCTGCAAGGTCAAGGGTCAAAGCACTGGCAAAAATACTCAAGGAAAACAGTTAAGGTTTTCTGGTCGTGTCTGTTGCTAAATGAGTGGATTTTCAGCTCTTTTATGAGATCTGAAAATAAAAAGATGGTTTATTTCTATGACTTATATTTTAAAGAGACTCAATGTGAGATTCTCATGTTCAATTCCATAAACATGACCTATAAGTGACCGACATTTTTGTATATTAGGCTACGTACAGACTGCAGCCTGAAGTGACCCAAATCTGATTTTTTGGCCCCTATGTTCCTGTATCTGATCTTTTAATGACAGTCTGAACCACACAGATTTGTTTTTTTTTTCAAATGCGATCCAGGCCACTTCGATATGTGCTCCTAAAACCGACACATAGGGCTGGGCGATATGGATCAAAAAATATATCTCGATATATTTTGTTATATCTCGATATATACGATATATATCTCGATATATGTTCAAGAAAAAAAAAAAAACTAAAATTGAAAACTGCAAAAACAAAATCTGCCAAATTCCACAAGGTCCTTTTTTTTTAAATTGAAGTGTCAGAGGTCGGCAGTTCATATAGGAACATTTAAGATTACAAAAACCCTAATTACATAAATAATAATTTAACTGTAAAATAAAAGAAATAAAACATATTTCCTTCTTTTCATTCATAAATAAGACAACTCAACACAAGCTCATCTTTGCATTAACTCTGTTCTCCAAACCAGAACCAGAACCATGAGCTCATTTAGCAGAAGAAGCTCAGGATGTTCCTTATTTTAATAGATCCATGTTCCTGTCCAGCAGTAAGGAGCTCTGAGGTTTAATCCCACAATCCACTTCAGATCAAACCCAATGTTTCCAAACACAATTGTACAAGTGACACTGCAGCAGATTATTCATTAAAATAATCTGCATAAATAAACTTTACATTGCTAAACTTTACAATATATAAAACATAACGACTCTAGAGTCCACATCAGCCCGTTTGAGATAATAATGTGTTTAAATACAGTTCTGCGCACGTGTTTTTTTTACATTTTACAGAAACGAAACTTAAGCGCATGGCTCATTTGCATAAACAGCACTTCTCATGCAGCTCAGCTCGTTTAGCTTCTTTTGGGCTAAAGGACGCGACTCGGTGGAATATGAGGATGTGCTGCTGATGGTTTTGTCTGTAAATGGTGGAAAAGGTTCGTGGTGCTTGAAGCTTTTCACAACTTTCGGCGTTCACGGCGATAGTGACGAGTGAAGGAGACACGAGCGAACAAAATCAGGGAGGCGGCGGCGACGAGAGAGAAGACAAACAAGGGAAGCGGCCAAATCAAAATTGAATATAAGCATTATATCGATATATACGATATGTCAGAATTCATATCGAGTTTAAAAACTATAGAGATATATTTAAAATATCGAGATATCGCCCACCCCTACCGACACATATCTGATCTTTTGACATGCGACTTCAGTCTGAACGGCCAAAGTGCATTCATCCGACCTACACGAACTTGTTTAAAGTTCCTTGATTAAGTAAATTCTATTGTGCAAATATTTGTAGTTACTTATTTACCAAAGAAATGTGCACATTATGACTTGGAAGAGTATAGACTTGTTCTATTTACAATGTTCATTTCAGTGTTCAATGTTCAGTGTTCAGTTCAGTGTTCAGTTCAGTGTTCAGTTCAATGTTCAGTTCAGTTCAGTTCAGTTCAGTTCCGTTCAAATGTTCAGTTCAGTTGTTCAGTGTTCAGTCTGCAGTCATTGCACAAATCTTTGGTATTTATTTATTAACCTTTTTAAATCATGTATTATTTTAACTTTCATGTTTGGTGTATTTGTTTTGAAAATAAAGCAAATCCCACTGATAAATTCTGAATTATTGTTCATTCCAGGCACGGCGGGGTGTGGTGGGGCAGTGGGGCGCCATAAAGCATCTGTATTTAGGGCACCCAAATGACGAGCACCGGCCCTGAGGTGAAGCTCTGGAGACACAGGTTCAGTTGTGATTTTAATACTAAAAGAGCACAGGCTGCAGTCTCTTCAAATCAAACCTATTCTGTAAACTCGACCTCTCAGAGTTTCTAACCATGACAGGTGTTTCCTTCTCATCGACCGTCTGAAGTTGTATTTGGAGTGATTTGTGCATGTTTGAGTAATCTTTAATGGCACACGCCGCTGTGACGGACTCTGACACTGACAGATCATCACAGATTCTAAGTGTAGATCAGACAAAAGCGTGTAAAGTGTGTTGTTTACCGTAGTCAGTGTGGAAGATCTGTCGCACGAGCAGCAGGAACCACTCTTTAGTCAGACCCCCCATGTCCAGCCCCGCCTCCCCCACAAACGTCACACGCAACTTCTTCTTCAGGTCGCACCTCTTCCTCGTCAACTGTGACGGACACAGAGAAAGACAGAGAGAGAGGAAGAGAGAAGGGACAGAGAGAAAGAGAGTGAGGGAGAAAGGATAGAGAGACAGGAGAGAGAGAGAGAGAGAGAAGAGAGAGAGAGAGAGAGGAAGAGAAAGAGAGGGGAGAGAGAAAGAGAGAGAGAGAGAGAGAAAGGGGGAGAGAAAGTGGGGGGAGAAAAAAAAGAGAGACAGGAGAGAAAGGGAGAGAGAAAAAGAGGGAGGAGAGGAGAGGGGGGGGCAGGAGAGGGAGTGAGAGAAAGACAGAGAGGACAGAGAGAGAACAGAGAGAGAGAAAGGGGGAGAAAGGGGAAAGAGGGAGAGAAAGTGGGGGAGGATAGAGACAGGAGAGAGAGGGAGAGAGAAGAGAGAGGGAGAGAAAGAGAGGAGAGAGAGGGGGAAGACAGGAGAGGGAGTGAAAGAAAGACAGAGAGGGGAGAGAGAGAGGACAGAGAGAAAGAGAGTGGGGGAGGGGAGAGAGAGCGAGAGAGTGAGACAGAGAAAGGGGAAAGAGAAAGAGAGAGAAAGGGAGGAGAGGAGAGAGGGAGGCAGAGAGGGGAGAAAGAGAGGACAGAGAGAGAACAGAGAGAAAGAGTGAGACAGAGAAATGGGGGAGAAAGGGGAAAGAGAAAGAGAGAGAGAAAGTGTGTGGGGGAGAGGATAGAGAGACAGGAAAGAGAGGAGAGAGAGAGAGAGAGAGAGAGGAGAGAGAGAGAGGGAGACAGGAGAGGGAGCAAGAGAAAGACAGAGAGGGGAGAGAGAGAGGACAGAGAGAAAGAGAGTGGGGGAGGGGAGATAGAGAGTGAGACAGAGAAACGGGGGAGAAAGGGGAAAGAGAAAGAGGGAGAGGAAGTGGGGGGGAAGGATAGAGAGACAGGAGAGAGAGGGAGAGAGAGTGAGAGAAAGAGAGGGAGGAGAGGAGAGAGAGGGAGAGGGAGACAGGAGAGGGAGGGAGAGAAAAAGGGGGTGAGGGTTTATAAATAGTTTAAACAGAGAGAAAGATTGGAAGATGGGGGTAGAGAGTGGGGAGAGAGGGGACGGGGAAGACAGAGAAAGAGAGGGAGAGAACGAGAGAGTGAGAGAGAGGAGAGTGAGAGAGAGGAGAGTGAGAGTAAACAGTTTATAGATGCATGGGATAATGTAAAGCAAAAGTAAATACAGATGTTGTAGAAATACATGGACAGTAAACAATATGACTAATATACAAATATGTGCAGTACACAAGAGTGGGGTGATGCAGTAGTTGGTAGAGGAAGTACTAGACATGGTACTATATGTAACACGTATTTTTTATGATGAAACAACACCAGATATTTGTCTCACTGTTTCAAATCTGACTTTCAAAGCTGCAGCAAAGTCCACACAAATAGATGGAGAAAAAAAATGTCTTCATCACCAAAAAAGAAAGAAATTGCACCAAGTCGCTCGTGTCTTGTTCAATCCCTACTAACCAATAGGCGAGTTTCATTGTTGACAAAAGCGCACGTTGCATGCTGGGAATTATTTTGGTCGGCGGCAATAAACACTAATTCAACATGACGGACGGAGCGAGAAAGCACGTAAAGGGTATTGATCCCTGGTTATTTATCCACTCTAACAGCAGAGGACCCAAGACCATTTGACCAGAAATTGGTCATAAGCATCGATGGACGACCAAATCACCCTTTTCAACCCCGACAAAAGGTGGAACCAAACCAAATTTCTGGTCAGAATCACCAACTACCTGGACAAATATTCACTTTGGCGATATCCACAATGACTTGGTGGAAACTCCTGGGCCATTCACAGCAGAAAAGATGAAAACCTCCAAGAATCTCGATGTGTTGTTGAACTTGTTGGAGTCCACGGTTTGTTAGGATCTTCTACGTTTGCTCTGTGAATGTTTGAAAGTCGTTTAATTCACCGTTAGAGGTTTCTTTTCACTCAGAATACGAAAAAGACATTTTCCTTCTTCCGTGCTTCTATTTGTGCATCCGATAATGCAGCAGGAATTTACCATTATCGGGGATAAATACGCGAGGTTACGCACTGTGTTTGACCACTATCGTGTTTCTTGCCTCCGACCAAAATATTTCCCAGCATGCAACGCGGGCTTTTAATAACAATGACGTCAGCTGAAACTCGCCTATTGATTTTACACTGAACAATCATCACCCCTTTCTCTGTACCTGCTGTAGTGAGCCTCTTCATTTTGGTCTTAAATGTTTGTATTAAAGGGCCCATCTCATGCAAAATCATCTTTTCAGAGTTTTCTACCTTCTAAGAGTGATGTGTGGGCCTTGTATATGTCGCCAAAGTGTTTTTTAGATTGATTCTGTGTTTTTTTTTTAAACAAATTGCAGTGAATTTCTGTCACCCTCCCACGTGACAACGAACTAAAGCTGCTTCAACGATGACGCGGCACATACACCTATGACACGTTTGATGTAGCAGAAAGCACTTAGCACCCGCCCCCCTCCCCCACTCCACCTCCTCCGCCTCACCTCCACCCGCATCGTCTGACAATTCCCACATGAACACCTAAACAAAAGCGACAGCATAAGCTCATTGTTCTACACTGATAATAAGTTGATCTACTAGAGTTTATTATTACTTTACCAATCAGTAATGTTCAGCTGATGTGGACGCGGTGCTTGAGCTTCGTGCTCCTCAAAGTCCTCGTCCGATTCCAGGTCCAACACATGCGGCTGAACGCGCTGTATCTCCATGATGAATAAAAGTTTATTCCTACCACTATCAGGGTGCACGTCTGTCTCCCCCTCCCTCCCTGAGATGGGAGGAGGAAGGGCGGCTCACTCGTCGCCTACGTCACGTTTGGAGGGCGGAGCCTGTGCTTTCTCAGGACGGGCGGGGGGAGGAGCAATAGTCGGCCTTTCATAGTTCCTGGTCTGTGACTGTCTCCAAGAAATCAGTAAGATTTCAGAACTATTGCGTAATAGATGTTCCAAAACCCAAACTGTGCTTGTTTATGTGCAGAAGATATAATGTGAAAAGAGTTATTTTGCATGAGATGGACCTTTAACCTGCTCTACATGATCCTGGGTTTTTTAATTGCTATTCCTCGGCTCCAAATTCGCTCCTATAACTGCACCATGAGCTTCATTTGACTGGAGCTGAACGCTGTGGGTACCACCACACTCACTAAGTTGGAACTAAGTTGAAGAAATGGACTAACTCAGTTCTTCGTGGTCAGCGTGTGTTCAGAATAAAGTCTAACAGAGCTTCAGACAGAGCAGTGCCTACAGTTAGCATCAGTTTGAACAGTAAGTGTCCCACAGACTGACCTCTTCCAGGGAGTCACTGAGGAGCTGAGCCCGTCTCACTTTGATGTTGAGGAAGAGCAGGTTCATGTCCACCCTCTGTCTGCGGGACACTTTACTCACCAGACTTTGCTGAAACACAAACACACAACACACACAACACACAAGTATAAATAATTATTCTGAATATGCAGTCTTAGTTTATCACCATCTTTATATTTCCATTCAGATGTAAAAGGAAAAATTGAGTTCTGTCAGCTGGACAAAAGATGGACTTAGGGCTTAGGGAATGTGCAATTACAAACAGAACCCAAGAGTGTGAAGGGCCCGTACAGAGACTTAAAGGGCCCTGATGGTGGATTACTCAGGCTTATTGTTGGTCTCTTGTTTATTTGTGTTCAGTGGTGGATGTTTCTGTTTGGGCTTATGTTGCTGTGATGTCTTTTCATTCTGTTAAAGTAGTGAGCCTCTGTCCCGAGACACACACTCACAAGTGGTGAAATGTTTTCACTCAAACAATGTCCAGTGACAGAATCGACCTGGACAGAGGGATTACACACACACTTCCATCATGTAAGGAGTTCAGTTAGGTTGGTTTTGAAGCTTTCAATGAACTGGTCCCCACAATACATCTCAGACCCCATCTAGATTAGGTCCGAGGTCCAGCTCATGGGGCCTAAGACGAGACTTAAAACCAGTGGAGACAGGGTCCAAACTCTGGACAGCATTGCCGTCCCACGTCTGAACAGCCCCCCACAGTGGAGAGTTTTAAGTCTCGTTTTAAGACGCACTTTTACTCTGTGGTTTTACTACGGCGCTAGTTGTGTGGTCTTTTGTGTCTTTGTACCTATTTATTTATTTATTTATTTTGTATTTATTTATTGTTTTTATCTATTTTTATATATATTTTTGTACTGCCTTTATTTATTTGATTTAATTATTTTTGTTAATTCATTTTATTATTATTCTTTTATCTATTTCTTTTTGCTTGGAACATAACTGTGCTGACTTTTTACAGTTAAATGTTTTACACTGCAGTGTGAAGTGCTTTGGAAATGGTCTTGTTTATAAAATGTGCTACAAAAATAAAGGATTGGATTGGATAAAAAGTCTTGCACTTGTAATGTGCTTTACAGGCTCATCAAAACCTTTCAAAGTGCTTCACTGTGTCATGCTTCATTCACTCCACACTCTGTGGTGGTAAACTTCTATAGCCACAGCTGCCCTTGGACTGACTGACTGAAGCAAGGCTGCCATCAGCCTCTCCGACCACCATCATCATCCACACACACACCACTTCAATAGGCTCTAGGGATGAGCATCCGATTCGACTCTTTCCTTGTGCACTGATGTGGTTCAGCTTCTGTCAGACTAAAGACACGAGTCAGTGGAATATGAGTGTTCTCTCTGTGACAGAGGGATGATGATGATGATGGTGAGTCTGTTCTGTGTGTGTGTCGCCTTGGAGATGGTTCATGTTTTCAGAGAGCAGACCTGTGCAGGTTTAGAGCAGTTCTTTATTTAATATTATTTCACTCACTTTAAACACACTCACTGAGTGGAACACTGTCTCCAAGGAGCCAGAGCCCAAACGTGGGACTGTGAGGCACAACTCCAGTGTTTGTGTCAGACGCAGCCTCATGTCTTTACGCTACACACAGCAACCTACATGCAGTTTGCGATTAAAAATGAATGTGATCGACGAAATTCTTAATAATCAATTATCAATTGCCCATCCCTAGTAGGCTCTATTCACACTTACATCACAAACCAGGAAGACATTTGGAAAGATGCGAACTTCCGGCGGGCTCTGTTTTGCTGTAGTAAATCTGACAAAATCTAGGCAGTTTTCTTCATCTCCATGTCATTATAGTGTTCCGTTATGTTCGGCTAATCAACAATTCCAACCAAACCTCAGTTTTCATCATTCCCCCACTGACACCCAACTCCGAGTGCACTGGGTACATGCGATTAGAAAAGATGACACCAGCAGTCTTGATTTTACCACTGATCACATTTACTTCAGTGGGTTTGATCACAGTCGGTCGGTGAGCCCAATGTCGGGAACTACACTGGAAGTTGTTATCACGTGTTTCCAAACGTCTTCCTGGTTTGTGACGTGAGCGTGAACAGAGCCTGTTGTTCACTCCTCTAACCACTGAGTCTCTGTCGCTCCTGTGGAACTATAAAGTAGAGCGCCTCACCCTGGCCTGGCTGATCATCTGCTGCTCCGAGTCCTTCTGGATGATGGCCTTCTTCACCACAGTGGACAGGATGAAGGGAAACTGACAGAAGGAGAACCTGTGGAGAGACATACAGTAAATAAGTATACTAATAATACTGTGAAAAATATAAGTATGAAGCAGCGAAACAGCGCCCGATCTCCTGAAACGATGTGTAATAGTGGTCATATGTCCACAGTGTCCTCTCTGCAGCGTCTGGTCTGAAATGGTCCATGATTTCACACATTCACAGTTCGGTTGGATTATATTAGGCTGAGCGCTTGCATCTGGTTTATCGTCTGGTTTTGCCACAAACAGCCTGAGTTAAATTAACACAGATCCCTGAAAGCTCCGGAAACATTCTTCATAAACAAAAGAAATCTGGCTCATATTTTTCCCAAATAAATATTCGTTTAGAAATGTTCAGAAGTCAAGGAAAATTCTGTACTGGTGGAGAAGGAGCTGCTGGTTCTGCCCTGACAAATATTATGACATGTTTTGGATTAAGTTTGAAAATTTAAGCAAACAATAAAATTAAAATTGTTCAAAATATTATGAAATGCGTAGGGAAATTGTGCAAATTTGAATTGCTTCTATGAATTATAGGACTAAGCATAATACAAAATTATTTAAAGATTAGCTAAAATATAATGAAATTTGAAATAATTTTACAGTTTAATTACAAAGTTGCAAATTTCATCTAACACACAAAATTTTATAAAATTGTTTCTTACATAAATTATAGGACTAAATATAATAATAAAAAAAAAAAAAAAAAAGGTAAAATAGGTAAAGGTAAAATAAAATTTGAAATAATTTTGGACCAACATAAATAGGTAAAAAATTGTTCCTTACATAAATTTGAAAAATAATCCCAAATAATTTAACATTTTCATTAAGAAAGAAATACACTAGATATAATTATAAATTTCTTGCAAAGAAATAAAACACAATAAAAAATGTTTTCGCTTTTTTCAAAACAAATAGTGCAGATTATTGTATAAAGTGTCAGGTGGGTTTTCTGGTTATTAGCGTGAGAAAAACAGCGTGTGCTTTTTGACCTGTTGGAGTTGCCGTAGCTCTGCCACGTCCTGTACTCCTCCATGAAGTCGATGTGCTCCAGGGTGATGTTGTAGAAGTCGGTGAAAGGCATGATGGGAGGAGACGAGACGCTGTTCGCCGCATCTGAGGAAGAAGAGAACCAGCCGTCATTAAAACTGCACTAGGGAACTTTTCTGGTAGAGAGTACATCACAGACCTGTCTATGTGGAGATGCTTTCTTTACCTTAAATGTAAAGAAAGGCATTAAACTGATCATCTCTGACTAGTACATGACAAGCTGCAGGTTAGATCTGTGAAGAGGCGAGTCTGCTCACTATAAGAGTACATGTTTTCTAAGATATTTTTTAGCACTAAAACACCCTGTACTTCAAAAATACATTTTCATTGTTTATCTCCATGGATACACCTCATCAGAAAAGTTACGTAATTCACCTTTAAGTAACTCCTTTTATCATACATTGTTTTCAAGTGTGCCCAATCAGGCAGATCGGTGCAGCGTTGGCAGTGATGCAGGTCGCTGTATGGGACCGCAAAGCTCTTGATTTACCGTCAATCTCTGTTCCTCCCCTCACCTATGGTCAATTCAGTTCAGACAAACAAGTTTGCGGGTACAAGTAGCTAAAATGAGTTTCCTCTGCAGGGTGGCTGGGCGCTCCCTTATAGATAGGATAAGGAGCTCTGAGTATAGCCACTGCTCCTCCTCTTCGAAAGGAGCAGCTGAGGTGGCTCGGGCATCTGTTCCGGATGCCTCCTGGACGCCTTCCTGGAGAGGTATTCTGAGCATGTTCCACCGCGATGAGGCTCCGGGGAAGACCACGGACACGCTTGAGGGACTATGTCTCTGGGCTGGCCTGGGAACACCTCGGGATCCCCCTGGAGGAGCTGGAGGAAATGTTCATGGAGCGGGAAGTCTGGGCCTCCCTGTTCCGACTGCTGCTTCAGGGACCCGGCCACAGATAAACAGGAAGAAAATGGATGGATGTCTTCAAGTGTTTTTTGTAACATATTTTAAGCGTTAAAGGAACTCCCCAGTGTCTCCATGAGGTCTTGTGTAAAAGCTGCTGACCCTGTACTTTAGACTCTACAAACATGTTCTGCATGTGACTCTTGGATTATTTTAGCAGCTAAAATGTCAGTCTTCAGATAAACTGTATTGTAATCATTCTGTTGTCTAAGTAAAAGCTAAAGTCTCCATAATCCTGTACTCGGGTCCAGTCAGTGTGGTACTCACTGAAGAGGGCCAGGACTTTGGTGGCCGATGGGACCCACCACGAGCACTTGGCCAGAGGAGGCAGCTCGTCAGGTTCAGCCGGAAACAGTCGCGTGGAGATGAACTGCAGGAGGCGCTCTACCAGCTGTTTGAACCTGCGCGCCGACAGCCTGCGTGCACACACACAGACACAACACTTAAAAAGCACATATTACACTATTTTCTGATCTATGTTCTAATGTCTGAATGAAACAAAACACAACTCTAGGTATGTTTTGCACAGTGTGTCTCCTTTAAGTCGAAACTACTGTGGAAAGTGCAGTATTATTAATAGGCAGAGTCAAAACAAGTCCACCTCCAAACTGGAAAATGTACACAATGTTGACGTTAGTTTAGATTTAAGAAATGGCCCACAATAGCTCTTTATTTGTGTCTCCGCGGTGACGGGAGCTCTCTGGACACGGCCTGAGCTGCTCCTGCTTCAGTCAAAACAAAGACGACGAAGGAAAACAATCCAACGCCCCAGAAACAGCTGTGAACTCACACCTCAACCAGGACTGAACCAGAACTGAACCAGGACTGAACCAGGACTGAACCAAACAAGGACTAAACCAGGACTGAACCAGGGCTAAACTAGGACTGAACCAGGACTGAACCAGGACTAAAGCAGATCTAAACCAGAACTAAACCAGGACTAAAGCAGGATTAAACCTGGACTGAACTGGGACTAAATAAATACTAAAACAGGATTAAAGGACATTTGAACATGCAACTTAGGTAGAGCCTAAAAGTCAAAGGTCACGTACTTCTTGAGCCAGTGAACCAGGAAGTGGTGGTCGGCCTCAGAGAGGGCGGCGATCTGGCGCAGCAGGTGAGCGTAGATGACGTACGTGCTGGTGCTGGAGTACTGAGGGTTCTGCACACAAACAGGAGAGACAAAAAGGGAGGATCAACAAGAGGTTCAAGGAGCTGGAGCTGCTCCTTTTCACGTAATGAAGTAAAATGTCTCCTCCCAGTACAGATATATTGTAAAAAAAAAAAAAACTCTTTTGAGTTTAAAATAAGTCCGCCCTGTGCTGTCTGTATCTAATTATAAAGCATTTTACACAAGAGCATCATAAACAGTATATAGACGTAGGACATCACCCACGGTGTTCGGCTTTAGTCAAATGAAGCTCACTGAGGTTGGCAGTTATAGGGGCAAATTTGGAGATGAGTTCGTATGGGTTCTGCTGCCAAAAGTAACTCTGACAAAATCTGAGAAAAATGAGAAAATGGCCCACTTTTCTTCATCTTGATAGATATTACTGTATTCCTTCTTTTTTCCTTTAATAAATTATAAAATAAAATCCAAAATTCAATTGAACAAAAGTTTATTTGGTCGAATATGTTTCGCAGCTTGACAAACTGAAGTTCTCCTTTTACTAGTCGTAGGGAGTATTATCTGTTCCATAAGGGTGAGTTGCTGTACAGTTGTAGGGAGTATTATCTGTTCCATTAGGGTGAGTTGCTGTACAGTTGTAGGGAGTATTATCTGGTCCATAAAGGTGAGTTGTTGTACAGTTGTAGGGAGTATTAGCTGTTACATAAGGGCAATTTGTTGTACAGTTGTAGGGAGTATTATCTGTTACATAAGGGTGAGTTGTTGTACAGTTGTAGGGAGTATTATCTGTCTCTCTATAGTCTGGTGTCTCGTGGATGAGCAGGACGTAAATAATCATGGAAATACAGAAACAAAAACATGAAAGTGTGTCCAAACTTGGGACTTGGTAGTGTCCACGGAAACAAAGCAAGTACAGACGATGTAAAATGTAATGGACTGCACAGGCCCAGTGTGTAATAATGTTATTGTAGTTTGCTCATAGAGTCTGAGGCAGCAGATTCTCCGTGTGTGAGTGTGTGTGAGTGTGTGTGTGTGTGTGTGTGTGAGTCATGATTAGCCACAGCTCTATAACAGTGTATGTGTATAGTGGAAACGTCTGCTCACTGCTCTCATCTGCAAAGAAAGACCAGACATAATCCCACTTTTCCATCAGTCCAGTGTTTCTGTGTGTCATACTTTTAAAGCGGGCGTTTTGTGCTGAATAATACAGACCCACTCATATTTTTTCAAGTTTAGAAGCCAGAGGAGCCGATGACCTCTGCTGATGTATCTGCAGGTTAATATGTACAGCTGAATATAAGAGCAGCTTATCCAATTAAAATGCAGTACAAGAATTTAAGAGTTACAAGAATTAAGAATTACAGTTGTAGGGAGTATTATCTGTTACATAAGGGTGACTTGTTGTTCAATTGTAGGGAGTATTATCTGTTCCATAAGGGTGACTTGTTGTACAGTTGTAGGGAGTATTATCTGTTCCATAAGGGTGACATGTTGTACAGTTGTAGGGAGTATTATCTGTTCCATAAGGGTGACATGTTGTACAGTTGTAGGGAGTATTATCTGTTATATAAGGGTGACCATTTGTTCAGTTGTAGGGAGTATTATCTGTTCCATAAGGGTGACTTGTTGTATAGTTGTAGGGAGTATTATTTGTTACACAAGGGTGACATGTTGTACAGTTGTAGGGAGTATTATCCAAGCTTATCCGTACAAACTCATCCACAGCTTTATCTGACTATAAACTGTGTAGGGAGCAGTGTAGTCACATTACCTTCTGTAGACTAAAATATTCAGATAAATCTTTATGCAGATGTTTTCCGTGTATATTTAGGCTGCTCTTTGGGCCAAACAAAATATCGGCCTCTGCTGGAGATTTAAGAACAGTAGCCCATCTGCTAAGAAGCTCAAATATCGACCTGATGTATCGGCTAACTATCTCTACTACATAATTCTTTTGACACTTTTAATCATTCTATGTTATTGTTAAAGTGTTTACACTTTTAAAATAGTTGTACTTTGTTTCATTCACACATTTTTAAGTAATCGTGTGTTTTATTCTGAACAGACTTTTCAACTCCCTAAGAAATCACAGAGGTCACTGAAGGCAGCACAAACAAACTGCAGTTGCCAAAAGATTTTGGACCAGTAGATAATGTTATTTAAGGAGACACATTGTGCTTGTGTGTGTTCTACAGGGGTGTAGTGGGTGTGGTACGCACTTCTGCTGACATGAAATATGAAAAAAATAACAAATATAAAATAGCTACAAGTTCAATGTCAAACCAAAGCTACTGGTAATGATGAAAACAACCTGCACATCTGCATCTGTTGCAGGTCTTATAGTGACCTGTGATGTGACCGGACCAGGACTGAACCAGGACTGAACCAGGACTGAACCAGGACTGAACCAGGACTGGACCAGGACTGAACCAGGACTGAACCAGGACTGAACCAGAACTGAACCAGGACTGAGTGTCTGGACGGGCTCGGAGGTGGGCCTGTGTAGACCGTCGGGTGATCACAGCGAAAGGATCAGTGCAGAGCTCAGCGTCCCACAGGTCTAAACACAGCCGATCACGCTTTGCAGACACCTGATTTAATCCTGGTTTAGGCCTGGTTTAGACCCAGTTTAGTCCTGGTTTAGAGCTACTTTAGTTCTGGTTTAGTCTTGGTTTAGGGCTAGTTTAGTCTTGGTTTAGAGCTACTTTAGTCCTGGTTTAGAGCTAGTTTAGTTCTGGTTTAGTCCTGGTTTAGAGCTACTTTAGTCCTGATTTAGTCCTGGTTTAGACCTGGTTTAGAGCTACTTTAGTTCTGGTTTAGTCCTGGTTTAGAGCTAGTTTAGACTTGGTTTAGACCCAGTTTAGTCCTGGTTTAGAGCTACTTTAGTCCTGATTTAGTCCTGGTTTAGAGCTAGTTTAGTTCTGGTTTAGTCTTGGTTTAGAGCTAGTTTAGTCCTGGTTTAATCTTGGTTTAGAGCTAGTTTAGACCTGGTTTAGTCCTGGTTTAGACCTGGTTTAGACCTGGTTTAGACCTGGTTTAGACCTGGTTTAGACCTGGTTTAGTCCTGGTTTAGAGCTTGTTTAGACCTGGTTTAGTCCTGGTTTAGACCTGGTTTAGACCTGGTTTAGACCTGGTTTAGTCCTGGTTTAGTCCTGGTTTAGACCTGGTTTAGACCTGGTTTAGTCCTGGTTTAGTTTTTAGTCCTGGTTTAGACCTGGTTTAGAGACCTGGTTTAGACCTGGTTTAGTCCTGGTTTAGTCCTGGTTTAGTCCTGGTTTAGACCTGGTTTAGTCCTGGTTTTAGTCCTGGTTTAGACCTGGTTTAGTCCTGGTTTAGTCCTGGTTTAGACCTGGTTTAGTCCTGGTTTAGTCCTGGTTTAGACCTGGTTTAGTCCTGGTTTTAGACCTGGTTTAGACCTGGTTTAGTCCTGGTTTAGTCCTGGTTTAGACCTGGTTTAGTCCTGGTTTAGACCTGGTTTAGTCCTGGTTTAGTCCTGGTTTAGACCTGGTTTAGACCTGGTTTAGTCCTGGTTTAGACCTGGTTTAGTCCTGGTTTAGACCTGGTTTAGACCTGGTTTAGACCTGGTTTAGTCCTGGTTTAGTCCTGGTTTAGACCTGGTTTAGTCCTGGTTTAGACCTGGTTTTAGTCCTGGTTTAGTCCTGGTTTAGTCCTGGTTTAGTCCTGGTTTAGACCTGGTTTAGACCTGGTTTAGTCCTGGTTTAGACCTGGTCCTGGTTTAGACCTGGTTTAGTCCTGGTTTAGACCTGGTTTAGTCCTGGTTTAGTCCTGGTTTAGACCTGGTTTAGACCTGGTTTAGTCCTGGTTTAGTCCTGGTTTAGTCCTGGTTTAGTCCTGGTTTAGACCTGGTTTAGTCCTGGTTTAGACCTGGTTTAGACCTGGTTTAGACCTGGTTTAGACCTGGTTTAGAGCTAGTTTATTCCTGGTTCAGTAATGGTTCATGTGTTGTACATCATGAAAACAAAGCGCCTCATGCTGTGGGCTCCTCCTGTGGATATCTGCACATCACACTAGAGCAGAGCTTTTTTATATTTGTACTAAAGTGTAACCAATGTCAAATCCCACGTGTATCACTGATGAACGTGATTCAACTACAATGCAGCAGGCAAAAAGGAGAAATCGAGAGGGCAATCATCAATGCGGCGTCTTGAAAATAAGTGATTAAACATTGCTTAGACAAACACAAATCACTCCAAGTACAACTCTGAGACGGTCAACGAGGAGGAAACAACTATTACATGATTACAAGGTCGGAAAAGTTGATTTTGCAGAATAGCTCTGATTTAAACGACCATGTAGACAGTTTAGTACAAAAAGCAAAAAAGCGGGTTTAGTGTTTAGTTCCACTTTAAGTTTTCGAGATCCACCTAAAACCTCAGAGCAGCCGCGTCACCATCAGACAGGAAACCAGCGCCACTGCCATCCAGCATGACTTCACCCTCTCTCCGTGTGTGTGTGTGTGTGTGTGTGTGTGCACGTGACGAGTGTGCACGTGACGGGTGTGCACGTGAGGAGTGTGCACGTGTCTCCGGGGACCATATGTGCGCGTCTATGGAGCGTGGAACCGCAGCGAAACTACTGTGCAGTCCGGACTGGATCCAGGTCTAATTCCCAGAACCTTATATGGGAATGAGCGGGAAGAGAGCAGAGGAGACATTATGTTCACATCAAGGCCTGGGTTAGGACTTGGTTTAGGATTAGTCCACATCTGATTTAGGACCTGGATTTGGATCTGGTTTAGATGCGGTTAAGGATAAGTTTAGAGCTGCTTCAGTCAGTGGTTTAGACTTGGTTTAGACCTGGTTCAGTACTTGGTTTAGGATTCATTTAGACTGGTTTTGGATCTTGTTTAATACTAATTTAGACTTGGTTTAGACCTGGAGTAGACCTGGTTTAGTACTTGGTTTAGGGTTGGTTTGGACTTGGAGTAGACCTGGATTAGACTTGCTTTAGACCTGGTTTAGTACTTGGTTTAGACCTGAACTAGACCTGCTCTAGCCTTGGTTTTGACCTACAGTAGACCTGGTTTAGACTTGGTTTCGACCTGGAGTAGACCAGGTTTAGACTTGGTTTAGACCTGGTTAAGATTGGTTTAGACTTGGTATATACTTGGCTTAGACCTGGAGTAGACCTGGTTTAGACTTGGTTTAGACCTGGAGTAGACCTGGTTTAGACTTGGTTTAGACCTGGAGTAGACCTGGTTTAGACTTGGTTTAGACCTGGAGTAGACCTGGTTTAGACTTGGTTTAGACCTGGAGTAGACCTGGTTTAGACTTGGCTTAGACCTGGAGTAGACCTAGTTTAGTACTTGGTTTAGATTTGGTTTAGACCTTGTGTAGACCTGGTTTAGTATTTGGTTTAGACCTGGAGTAGACCTCTTTTAGTTCTTGGTTTAGATTTGGTTTAGACCTGAAGTAGACCTGGTTTAGACATGATTTAGACCTGGAGTAGAACTGATTTAGACTTGGTTAAGACCTGGAGTAGACCTAGTTTAGTACTTGGTTTAGACTTTTTTTAGACCTGGGAGTATACCTGGTTTAGTACTTGGTTTAGACTTGCTTTAGACTTGGTTTAGACCTGGACTAGACCTAGTTTAGACTTGGTTTAGACCTGGACTAGACCTAGTTTAGACTTGGTTTAGACCTGGAGTAGACCTAGTTTAGTACTTGGTTTAGACTTGGTTAAGACCTGGAGTAGACCTAGTTTAGTACTTGGTTTAGACTTGGTTAAGACCTGGAGTAGACCTAGTTTAGTACTTGGTTTAGACTTTTTTTAGACCTGGGAGTATACCTGGTTTAGTACCTGGTTTAGTACTTGGTTTAGACTTGCTTTAGACCTGGTTTAGACCTGGTTTAGACCTGGTTTAGACTTGGTTTAGACTTGATTTAGACCTGGTTCAGTACTTGCTGATTAGATTAGTTTAGACCGGCTTTTGGACCTTGTTTAATACTAGTTTAGACCTGGACTAGACCTGGTTTAGTCATGATTGAGGTGTTAAATAAAAACAGACTGGAGTTGTGTTTTGTTGGTTTGAGTCACCCTTTGTTATGAGTCTGTTTACATCTCCAAAGCTCAAAATGCTCTGTTCCACCTTGTGATGTCATGAAGAACTGTAATAATATAAATGATTTTAGTGAAGGTCTATGGAATTTAAAAACATTCACACATGTACTTGTTTGTTCCTGGTTTGAGCCCAGTTTAGTCTCGGTGTAGGACTGGATTAGTGCTCTTCTAGTCCTGATTTAGTCCTAATTTAATCCACATTTTGGCAACCTTGATCACCTCTTCTGAAATGCCCTTGCTCTTTCTGGCTCATTCACACCGTCTTTACTTTCTCGGCGCACAAAACTTGAAAACCTCCGGACTGAATGAATGGTGCGATGGAGAGAGGGAGCGATGGAGTGAAGGAGAGATTGAGAGGAGGGATGGAGGAGGGGAGCAGGCAGAGCTGGAGCAGTGGAGAGGTGGTGGCAGCTGCCCCAGTGGAAAAAGTCTGGTGTGTTCCATGAGGAGGTTAACCTACATTCTGCTAATGCATAAACTCAGCCACTGCCTTAAACCACACACTGTTTTCTCATCAGAAGGAGCTTGTTGATCTGATATGTTCATGTTATTTGGGGTTTTTAATTTCATTTTATTCATATTTAAGTAATCCGACACATCCTTCACGCTCTCACTCAAAACAAACAGTTTCACCTGATGATGTCATGAAGTGCTGCCCCCATACTCCAAAAAACTCCAGTGTTTCTGAAACAACCCTCTCTAGACTCTGATTATTTCACAGTTCAAATTGTTTATATTAAAGGTGACTCAATGTGACGTAACTTTCTAACTGGGGTCATTCATCTGCCTGTGTCATGGAGATTTTATTGCTTTAACTGAAATATTCCACAGTATGGCATTAAACTTTAATCCAAATCTATTTACAAAGAGACAAAGAGGTAAGTTACAGATCAGATCTTAGGCGAGATGTTTTCAGTATATTTATAGCACTAAAAACACCAATTGATAAAATAACATTAACATCTCAGTGGAGACAAGAATTTTTATTATGGAGAAAGAATTATTATTATTATTATTCTTTGCATTTTCCCAATAAACCTTCACATCACTAACATCTCTACTTGTCGAGGTCTTGTCTTTTTTTGTCACCACCACAGACTGTATAAAGAAGTGGACGAAGTGAGTGTGACGTCGGCTCCAGTCAAATGAAGCTCATCGAGGCTTGCGGTTATAGGAGAAATTTGGAGCATAGTTCCACATTAGGAAAAGGAATCAATTTACAGATAAAACAGAAAAATTCAAACAGCAGGATCATGAAGAGTAGGTTAATAAGAATATTTTAAGACCAAAATGAGGAGCCTGACACTTCTTTTCAATACGATGTGAATAGACCTTTTTCTCAACAGCCGGAAGTGTCCCGCTGTAGGGTTGCGGAACTTCCAAAGAAAACCATGGAATTGCCACAACCCTATGGTGCGGCACTTGCAGCTGTTGTGAAAAAGGTCTACTGGAGCTGGAGTCGATGGAGCCAGGAGCGCGTCCATGCTCACTTCCTTTTTAGAGTACTGCAGCTAGTGACTAAGCTATGACCATTTATATACACTCAATACAATCTCTGCTCAATGATAAAGCAGAGACTCATGATTAGATCCAGTGAGGCTGAAAAGTTGAAAGCTGAAGGTTGATTTGTGGATTAGTTGAGTGAGAACTTACCTGAACCAGGATGAAGTAAGCCCGAAGATCGTCTTTCGTCCGAGGCCTAAGACACAACACAGTACAGAATATTCATTTTATTTTACATTCTTTTTTTTTTCCTTTGTAGTAAGTGTTTATTTAAAGGTCCTATATTACACAAAATAGATTCTTTTAGCTTTTAGCCATGTTATAATGTTGTTACCTCCTCAAAAACAGATCTGGAGCTGTGTTTTGTTTCATTCACACATGTTTGAGTAAGTCTTTATTATTAGTCTGACTACATCTCTCAAGCTTAAAATGCTCTGTTTGACCTATACCTTTTACCTTTTTAGAGTTTCCAGGAAAAAAAATGTAAACAGCTATATCCATTAGATTTAGAATTTTAAATACCCTAGAATTTCTCACATTGAATATTTTATCTCTTAAAAAGATGTTCGAATTATTTTTATTCTGAAATTGTAAGTATAGTTTTTCAATATGTTTCAAATTCAAAATAAAAACTTTTGAAATATTCAGCACATATATTTTCAAGTCCTCAAATTCAGTAGTCAAAATTCAGAGTGTAAAATTCAGTTTTATCAGAAGTTTTATTTTTCAGAGACTTTTTTCACGAGTCACGTGACTTGAATATAGTGAGCTGCGAGTCTGAATCTCTCTGTGAATGAGTGCACTGTAGGGGGCGCTAAAGAGTGTAGTGAATGAGGGGTTAGGGACTAGTGTAGACAACTGGACATAGCTTTAGTTGTTTGGGTTAAGTCTTGTCAAAGCATTTAAGAGGAAAAAATAGCATACTCAATTTTGTTTGTCTCCACAAAATATCATAATAAATATCGTACAGTGAGATGTTTATCGTGAAAATATCGTGCTGAGAGATCTGGATATCGTTACATCCGGAGTAAACTCACCCTTTCCACTCCCGCAGCAGACTGTTGATGATCCCCTTCAGCACTGACTTCTGGATGTCCTGAGGCTGACACATCACACAGAAAAAACATGCACAGAATTATCGAACAATGACTATGGATGCAACAATAACCAAAATATCATGATATCGTATCGTCCAAAGTATCTCAATAATATCATGGGCCCTCACAATATATCAAATTACAAGTTTCTTTGCTTAAATTCATATTTATTGTCCAGCATCAACTAACAAAAAGATAACTACACAGATCCTTTGCTTTGTTTCAGTCCAATCTGCTGAAATGAAATGTGAAGCATTTTTAAATCTAAAGTATTAAATAAAGCTGGAAATAATACTTCAAAGGCAAGTTGAAACACCTAAACTCCAAACCACAATGTTTCAAACAACCTGAGGCTGAACACAGTCAAAAAGCATGTACTGAAAAATGGAACACCCTGGAGGACTAAAGGGACGTGTTATTCAGGGGGTTTGCCCAGGGGAAATTCCTGCAATGTTGACGTGAAAGGCAACACTCTGTGTCTTCTCTTCTGTTTGTACACTACCGATCAAAAGTTTGGGGTCACTTAGAAATGTCCTTATTTTTGAAATAAAAACCCAGTTTTTTTCAATAAAGATAACTTTAAACTAATCAGAAATACACTATTCCTTACTAATGTGGTAGATGATTATTCTAGTTGCAAATGTCTGGTTTTTGATGCAATATCTACAGAGGTGTATAGAGGCCCATTTCAAGCAACTGTCCCTCCAGTGTTCTAATGGTACAATGTGCTTGTTCATGTTGTGTAAGAAAAAGAATAAAGGATGATTAGAAAATCCTTGTGCATCATGTTAGGAACAGGAAAAACAGTTTATCTGGTTAGAGAAGCTATAAAACTGACCTTTCTTTGAGCAGGTTGAGTATCTGGAGCATCACATTTGTGGGGTCAATTAAACGCTCAAAATGGCCAGAAAAAGAAAACTTTCATGTGAAACTCGACAGTCTATTCTTGGTCTTAGAAATGAAGGCTTTTCTATGCGAGAAATTGCCAAGAAACTGAAGATTTCCTACAGCGGTGTGAACTACTCCCTTCAGAGAACAGGCACAAAAAGGCTCTAAGCAGAGTAGAAAGTGGGCAGCTTGACCGTACGGTACACAGAAGTGTCCATCCAGTCAGTCCAACTTGTGGGAGGATTCTTGAAGCGTGGGGTGAAATGTCTCCTGATTACCTCAACAAATGAACAGCTAGAATACCAAAGGTCTGCAATGCTGTAATTGCTGCAAATTGAGGATTCTTTGACGAAAGCAAAGAAAGTTGAAAAAAAAAATTATTTATTTCAAATACAAATCATCATTTCTAACCTTGTCAATGTCTTGATTATATTTTCTATTCATTTTACAAACTCATGTGGTAAAGTGTGACTTTTCATGGAAAAACACAAAATTGTGGAAAACTGGTTGACCCCCAAACTTTTGAACGATAGTGTATTATTATGGATTTCACCCAGTATAAAATCATGAGATAATCACTGTAATTCATAACTGTGTTAATGTTGTTCATTAAACATGTTCTGCAAACACACGCAGTTCTGAAAATCCACGAAGATGATAGTGTTTAGACTTGTTTTATTATTGTGTCTCAAACAATGTGCCTGTGTGAGTTTAACATATTTACGTTCTGCTTTGAGACAGATAAATTAACATTTGCAAATTAAGGGACAATAAAATGTTACTGTATTGAGACAATGTTGAATAAGTAAAAAACACAATCTGGATGTGAAAGTCAATGCTCCATGTAGGGCTGGGTATCGTTATGAAGCTGCCGATACGATACATACCTCGATACATAGGCCACGATACGATACACACCTCGATATACAGGCCACGATACGATACACACCTCGATACAGTGCTTTTTCAGTTTGATACAATATATTTCAAATCAATTCAGTACAGTTCAATAAAAAATAATGGCTAATTCATGGCTGTGACACTAAAAGTCTTTGTGAAACCACTTTTTGTGCAAAGTTCATATGAAACACAAACATTTTAATCCTGAAAACAGTGAAAATGTCAAATGTGTTGCATAAATGAGTTTTTTTCCTCTAAACAAGCAACAAAACTGTAGCTGTAACAAAATAATTTAGTAAAATAAACCAAAAAATAGACTTGGTGATATATCGATACAGCAGCCCACGATATCGATACTGTATCATCACATTAAACGATATTAACGATATTTTGATATTTTTGCACACCCCTAGCTCCACGTCTTCTCTTCTCTTGTATTATTATATATTTCAGATTGCATCATCACTGCTGTGGCGGCCCCAGTGTTTGGGCCCATAACGATATCGATGCTCAAATGAATATCTAGTTTTGATACTAGCTTTGATTTGTAATATTTTCGATACTTGACAACCTTAAAAATTCAATCAAATGCAAACGCGTTTTGTCAAAAATCGAAAGTGTTGCAAATACATATGAGAATGCTGTGCGTTTTATAGGTTCTGCATTAAGCCTATGGAAAGTGGGCATTTTACAAGAGCCTGCGACGCCAATGTAATTATGGTCCATCATAATTACCTCGTTACACCCTCCCAAAGCAGCGGCGTGCTAGCTTTTACAGACACTCTTACCCTATGGAGTCCCCGTAAAGCATAATGTGTGCGAGCGTTATCCTGATATCCACTCAGAGCTTATTAACACTGGACTCACTGTGTTGAGCAGCGCGTCGTAAACCGCGTTCACAAACTTGGCGTTCACTCCGGAGTCGTCTATGGTGTTGAAGGATCCGTTCGCCTCCCTCTGTCGATAAACAAAATAAATGTGGAAAAAGTGAGGAGGTGTAGAGTACACGTGAAGCTTAATCACAACTTTATCTTGAGGACAAAACAATGGCCCATTTCTCTTTCCTCGCTTCCTTCACCTTGACTCCTCTCCTCGGTTCAGCAGGAGATGAATGAGGAGGAGAAGAGAGGATCTAAACTCCTCACTGAGACCAATAAAGTTTGATTCTTTTATCAGATGTCTGCTCCTAAAGCCTCCCTCAGGTTTACTCCTTCGTTCCGTGGTTTTCTTTGGGACGCCACTTAATATGACACATTTGATTGACAGCTGAAAAATGGAGGATCGAGGAGAGGAAACAAGGAGAAGGAAACGAGGAAAGAGCTGTGGAGCGTACGCCGCCCTATACTAGAAATGGAGACACTGGTCATTTCTCAGTGAGGACAAAAAATGTTACGCTTTCCATAAACAACGAAAAATATGAAGTGTTGAATTTAATAAATGAAGACATGAAGAATTCTCTGGAAATGTTACACTTGAACAGAGTGAATAAATGATGTGTTGAGTACAGATTCTTCCCCGTAGACAGTCAGATAGTACTGGACCATTTTAAATTATGTGAATTAGGATTTCTCAGTCGTAAACGATTTTTATAGGAGAATGAGATGAGACTTTAAATCTCAAGCGCAAAGTCTGCAAAGAAAAGTACTTCTCCTAATGGTTTGAGTCCTGCTGAGTTGTTATGAAACTGTCTAAAGGTTATGTGTTCAAGTCTTGGCTTTGAGGATCCACCTTATTCCAATCCACCCACTTTTGTCTCTAAACGCTCCTAAATCGAGCTTTTTTGTGGTGGAACTTCCGGTTAAACAGGAAACCCATTCATGCCAATGGAGAATTTGGGAAAAGTTCTGCATCTTAAATATGACATAAAGTTTTCATGTGCAACAACAAGTCACACTGCACTGATTCTCTGGAGGCTTTAAAACGGCTTTATCGTCCATATTGAACTTATTTGCTGCCAGGATCTGCAGCCCCAAACAAAATAATATAACCCCAATGATGATGGAGATGCCCACGGCAACTTCTGGAATAAGGTGGATAAAGAAATTAAATCTATAAAACATGTCTGGATTAAGATAAAAAGAAATATACTGATTTTAGCTTGAAGACCAAAAATCAACTCAATTATTTTTCTTTCGCAAAATCACTGTATTTGACTGTAATAGCTCTTTAAATCAGTGTAAAATACATAATTTAATAAAAAAAATTCAGCTTTTAATTATGTAGAATTCTTTATGTGATACTTTCTTAGGGCTGTGCTAAAAATCGAAAGATTGCTAGATCACAATCTCTACTTTGGTCGATCTTGATGATAAGGTGAATACATTTTAACTGACAGGTCTACAGCTGATCGTGGCAGTGAGATCGCGTGGAGTTGATGAGGATTTACGCTCTCATTTAGGAGCCTCACAAGTTTGAATTTAAATCTGCACAATTTACCTAAAAGTTCAGTGTCTCTCTCACCGTTTAAGACGTCACTGAGCGCACGGTCACGTGTTTGTGTTGATAGTGGTAGGACGCATATGCATTTAGGCTAATATATTGTACAAACTCATTCGAAACTTTAAATGTGAATTTCTTCAGAATCATTGGTCCTGTCAACACAAAATAAAAACTGAAAAACTGACACCCTGCCTTTTACGTCTCAAGTCCACCTGTGTATGTTTTTAATAAGATGAAAGATGATTGAATTGAAAACCAGGATCGATTAATATGGAGGAAAAAAAACGTGATTTCTTTTTTTCCCATATCGCCCCTACTTTTACTTGAGTATTTTTCCCAATAAACAGACAAACTGTTCCACGTGTAGTCCCAGTGTCACAGGTGAGAGGGTGCTGCTGCTGTTCTGTGCAGTACCTTGAACGCTGCGTTGATTTCGATGAAGGAGTCGAAGGTGGTGAGGTAGAACTCTCTCACCTCCCTCCAGTCGCCCGTCTGCACCGCCCGCTCCATGTCCTCCCTGTCACACACACACACAAACACACACAGTATCAACCCTCACGGAAGTATTTATGATTACAATTCACTACACAAAGTACTGACCATAAGTTATTAAAAGTCCTGTATTACAAACCATTGACTTGTGAGCTTTTAGCCATGTTACAACATTGTTACCTCCTCAAAAACATACCTGGAGTTTGAGTAAAAGTAAAATGTATTATTCTGTCTACATCTCCAAAGTTTGAAATGCTCAGTTCCACCTTGTGATGTCATGAAGTGGTAGTTAACAGCTCCTTTTACCTTTAGTTCAGTAGAGATTCCAGGGTTGAAATTATCCAAGTGATGCTCGTGAGTTTAAAAACACAGAGGAGCACTTACTGTATGACATCCACTGTCGGGCAAGTTACTTTAAAACTGTAATGTGTTATTTATTTATGACTTGTTACTGTCATTTCAAAGAAACTTCTTACATTACAATGTTACTGTATTTAAAATGTAAAACATTACACGACTATTGCAGGACTTTGAAGTTACTCTCACCAAAATAACTGTGAAGATGCTGAACTTTTGCGCCACATATGGACTGAACCAGGACTAAACCAGGACTGAACCAGGACTAAACCAGGACTGAACCAGGACTGAACCAGGACTAAACCAGGACTAAACTAGGTCTAAACCAGAGCTGAACCAGGAGTAAACTATGTCTAAACCAGAACTAAACCAGGACTAAACCATGACCAAACCAGGACTAGTCTCCAGGACTAATCTTGGACTAAGAGAGAGTTCTGTGCCAGTCCTTTTGCGCGCGATCACTGTCCACATCTCTGGCGTTTCACCGCTGCTGATATTGCGGTGATTTTGGCGAATTTGTATGAAGAAAAATGAAAATCCCACCACTTTAATTCAGATTAAAAAAGCATTGTAAAGCGCATTACTGATATTTGTACTGAGAAAAATATTACCACTTTTTTTCCTGTAATGCCTTACAGGAAAAAGCAATGTATTGCAGTAATTTGTTACTTTTATAACGCGTCACTCCCAACACTGATGACATCACAAGGTGGAATAGAGTGTTTTCCATTTCAGAGAAGGGTTTGTGTGTTAAAAATGTGTGAATGAAACAAAACTAAACTCCAGGTCTGTTTTTAATGAGGAAACTACATAGATCAGATAATAGCATAAAATAGTAGCACTTTTGTAGTTCCAGTGGGCACACAAACTTTTCAACCACTCACCCATTCATACATGGGGACTTAAGAGGGTTAAGTGTCTTGCTCAAGAACCTAACAACTGTATGGACCAGTGGGAGTTGGGATAAAACCTCCACCTGCTCTACCAACTTCACTGGAGAAACTTCTGGACAGTGTGTTTGAATAGAACATAAGAACAGCGTACTGGAAGTCCTTGGTGCTCTTGGTCCTGAGGGGGATGATGGGGTCACAGGGGAACGGGGCTTTGACCTCCGGGGGCAGTGTGTCGATGGAGATGCGCTGTTTCTGCCGCACGTCGCTGCAGATGGGAGGAAGCTCTCGACCTGTAACACACACACACAACAGGAGCTTTTAGAGGTGTCCACTGGAAGAATACTGTTAAAGAAACTAGGGTTAGGACCCTTTTACCACAAAACACAAGTACACAGTTGTAACGATCGTGATTTAGCAGTAGAAATGCTTACAACAAGTCAGGAAATGATTTATGAACTTAAAGGGACAGTTTGAAATTTTGGACATAGGACCTCATTTCATTTCCTAGTGAGCCAGAGTGTTGGAGACGTGTGGAGACACTTTTTAAAATATTCCATCCAGTCCTTGTATTTGCAGAGGTCACTGGTGCTAGGCTAGTGCATGTCAATGGCCATAGTTATCCTGCCACTAAAAACAGTCTTACCCACTCCACAAAACACCCGAAACAAATCTATTATTACACCAGACTGTCCATGTGAATGTCTGTGTTGATGGAATAATGTTTGAAATAAAACTAACCTTGCATCGCATGAATCATCGCATGTTGAGGGACTATTTTCTCATATATCAGTCCACCGCTGCCAAACTTTCTATTAGAAAGTACAACTCACTGCTGCTGCTCAGACAGAAATCCTTCAAATACAAGGTTGGTTTTACTTCTACAAATATTCTATCAACACAGACATTCACATGGACAGTCTGGTGTAATAACAGATTTGTTTCAGGTGTTTTGTGGAGTGGGTAAGACTGTTTTTAGTGGCAGGATAACTATGGCCATTGACATGCACTAGCGTAGCACCAGCGACCTCTGCAAATACAAGGACTGGATGGAATATTTCAAAAAGCGTCTCCACACGTCTCCAACACTCTGGCTCATTAGGAAATGAGGCCTTATTTCCAAAATTTCGAACTGTCCCTTTAAAAACTGTGCATTAGACCACCAGACTTTTACCTGTGACATAACAATCCTGGGAAATTCAAAATCAAGTTTTATTTTAGTTTTCAGTTGGTTGCCAGTGCCTTAACTTGTAGACAGAGGACACATCCAAGTTGAGCTGCACTGAGCTGCAGAGGCTGCATTAGCACTGACTCATGACGGGTGCAGGTGCTGGAGTTTAGGGAGTGAGTTTTTTTTCTTTTTTTTTTTTTTTTTTTTCAGTAAAACAGATATTTGATTTAAACATGTTTACCTCATATCTGGGTCATGCTGATGGAACTTTATGGAAATCAAAATGGTACATACAGTTCCTTAAACATACTTCAGAGACATTGATTAATGACTAAATCATAGGAAAAAGGATCTGTGAAAGATATACATAATTGCTTTCAAACTGAAACACAAGGAGATAATTAATAAGATGTAAAAGACAGTGTGCGTGTGCGTGTGCAGGTCTGTTTCTGTGTGTGTGAAGCCCTGTGTGTGTTTGGGGCGTTGTCATGGATGAGATGGACACCTTTGGGACATGTCTTCAGAGTGGACAGAATAATGAGGACTGCTTATTTTATTTAGATGATGTGTCCTGTATCCGTTTGTCCAGCTGGAGATGTTGAGGGAGTTCTAGAGTGCTTGAGTTTTGTTGTGTTAAAAAGACTATAGAATAAAAAGAGTTGGTTTTGCTTGTTTTGTGATCAGAGCACCTGAAGTGGACTCAGAGTGAAGAAAGAATATGTTATATTTAAAACTAACTTTTTAGATTTAGATTGAAATTTGATAAACATGTTCTATTTGTGTAACCCCAGATACAAATCAAACATGTTCACATCAAATATAAACTTTTAACAATTGCAATGCTGGTTTATTCTTAATTACAATAAAAAAAAATTAAAAAAAATTTAAAAAAAAAGTTGTGATGTTATAATCAAGACAATTATCCAATCAGAAAACAGAACGCTTCCCCGCATGAGTTTCTCACATGAGCTGAAATCCAGTTGGTTTAAACCCTTCAAGACCTAAGGGCAATTTTAGTACATTTGTTCTCATCTGCATTTTTTTCTTAATTCTGCTATTAAAACTCCTTCTTTTACTCCCTAATGAAGTGTTATACATCCTTTTTTCAATACAATTTGTTATTTCACAAGCTGCTGCTGCAGTTGTGTCAAATGGCTGGAATAAAAGCTACAGGACCAGAAATACAAATGGAAAAAAATGAAAATAAAATTCACACTTTTTCATACAAAACGCACAGAAAGCATGTATAAACAAAGTTTTGAACATAAAAAATGATTGATGATTTAGGGCCTTAGCTACAAAAGTGCAAAATATCAAGTGTGTAAGTAGAACTAAAAAATATCCTTATTGCCTTATTGTCATGTTTACAGCTGGTGTCAGGTCCAGGGCACAGAGCCACGTCACTTCCTGCATTTCCATGGGGTTTATTACATTTGGATTTGCATATTTGGACTGAAATAAACCTTTCAGATAAAGATTGTAGACCAAGATGTATAATTTGCCATTTATTTGAGAAATAAATGCACTTAGAGCGACTTTTTCAGTTGTTACAAACAGATTCAGCACAGTCAAGTTTGGCACAATCAAAAAGGATGGAGCGCATGTGTTTGGCGAAAAACAAAGTTCCTATTGGACACTCGTTTTCCCTACATCATCATGCAGGATAATGCCGAAAATGTTCAATTGACTTTAGCTTTCATCTATCAGCTGTACTTCCTGGAGATCTGTGTAGCATGTTTTGGGTTGATGCTGGAAACCAGAGCACCCGGAGGAAACTCATCCAGACACGAGAAGAAACATGCAAACTCCACACAGAAAGGCCTGGGCGTCCCAGGGTTAAATCTGGAACCTTCTTGCTGTGAGGTCAGCCACTCAGCCACCGTGCAGTAAAAATATGCTTGGAAAGCCGCAAGTACCAGCTTTTCATTGGAAAAAAAGAGCAAGTTTCTATGTTTTATGGTTGGAAAGTTCTGAGCGGTTATATAAAACATATTCCCAGGTATCGTATATGATACTGTTGGTCTGGAAGGTTTAAACCTAAAATCCCTCTCTCTGGTCTGAATGGTCTCTACCTAAACTCCAGCACCTGCACCAGTCATGAGTCAGTGCTAGTGCAGCCTCTGCAGCTCAGCGAGGGAATTCTGGAGGTTCTGAGCTTCACACGAGGCCTGACCTGTGCACATACTGAGAATGAGACAAACTTGGATGTGTCGTTTATTTTCCATCCCTCCTCTGTACCCAGTGTTGGGGAGTAACAGATTGATTACGTAACTCTGGTACATGTAGAGTACAAATTATGAGTAACTGTATTCAGTTACAGTTACTGTTTCAATGAGTGGTAATTGGATTACAGTTACTTTGTTGACATAAGTGAATTACACGGCGGGATTTTCCTGTTTTCTTCCACATTTTGGGCTATATCCCTTTTTTTTTTTTTTCTTTTTTGGTAATTCCACTCATTGCCGGACACTAAACCAGGACTAAATCAGGATTGAACCAGGACTGAACCCAGGTCTAAACCAGGACTAAAACCAGGTCTAAACTAGATCTAATCCAGGTTAAACCAGGACTAAACCAGGGCTAAAACCAGGTCTAAACCAGGTCTAAAGCAGGACTAAACCAGGTCTAAAACAGGACTAAAACAGGATTTAACAGGACTAAACCATGCCGCACAGACCGTGTCTTCTCCTCTTCTATCAATAATATTTTTAATACGGTTAAGTAAAGTTTGGGCTTTTTATTTTCTTTTAGCAGACAAAACTTCTTATGTGAAGATTTCCAAGTCTTTGTTTCTCTACAGCAAATCAAGTAATCCAAAGTATTCAGTTTACATTACTCACTTTAAGTAATTGAATGGATTCCGTTACAAACTTTTGGGGTATGTAATCTGTAATCTGTAGGGGAATACATTTTAAAAGTCACCTTCCCAACACTGTCTGTACCACATATACTCTCTTCTTCCTCTGCACCGTGTTGCACCAGCAGCCTGTATTTCGTCTTTGAGGGTTCTAAAGCGATGCCTTCGTTTCAGACCTTTTTGTTTATAATTAGGGCCCTATTGTTTCCGTCGCTGTGGAAACAGTCAACAACAGCCCTGCCCCGGTGCATTGTGGGACGGACACATTGTGCAGACAGGAGATAAAAGAGGATCAAGAGACGCTGTTTTATCTGCAGCAGGGAGAACAGTGATTAGCCCCTTGAGTAATTCATAATATTAGCATTCACTTGCAGATATTTTTCTCATGCAAATTAAAACAGCGGGGTAGAGCTGGAGAGTATGTGTATGTACTCAGCACGCTTCCACTTTTCTTTTTTTGAATGTGTGTTTTCTATTTTACGTCTATGGGGTATTAACTGCTAACACATAACACATTTAGATCACCGTGTTCCCTTTTATTCATTTGAAAATACTATATTCACTGATAAAAACATATCATGTTTTATAAATTTGACTTTCATTTTTGATGTTCTGAGTCTCTCTGCGCTAAGTCACTCCCCCTTCAGAGCGAACTGCACATCGAATCAGGTCAATAGGAGGGTTTCAGTCACGTGATCACGATGATGCGCGAATTTCAGGTGGAGGGCAGGAAGTGAAGACAAACACGACAAACACGGCTCTGGAGAACACAGATATGGAGAAGAGTTCTTATTGTCAGGATTTAGAGCCAGTAACAAGGCAAAAGTACGAGCAGTTAGTCGACAAATATATTGGACGTGACCCTGATCTTATTGAAAATGAGAGAATTTTCAACCGAAGTAAAAGATTTGGGGACAATCGAGGCAGAGGAGATCACGAACTATTTAGCTCTTCAAACATCATTTTACACCAGACAACAGATGAAGGTGAACAAAAGTTTGGAGGCATAGAACTTTTTTTGTCAGTGGATGGGTCCAAAACGCCTAAATGATGATTATGGTTTGGTCTTGGCCGGGGTGAGTGGTTCTCTTATTTTATGTGTATAGACGTTATGGGAAAAACTGCAGTGTATCGGCAGTGACCTCTATCTGAACTATTTAATGTCAACAAACATCGTCAGCCGTTAGTCGTTAATGATTTGTTTATATTTAGGTAAACCACAAAAAACAATTTAGCTTTGTAACAAACTTTTGACAAAGTGGTCA